GGGAAACTGTACACACAGAACGGATGATTTCATGAACAAGCCTTTCAGTTATTTCAGTTATCAATAGAGTCCACTCATTTCTTGCAGATAGAGTTTTTCCAGCAACGCACAGGAAAAAAGAAATGAACATTCGGTAAACAATACTAAAAAATATTTGGTTACTCGTTGAAAGTGAATCTCGCAAGATGATTGACGAATTTGTATCCAGCCCAACCGTGCTTTAGGTTCCTCACAATTTATTAGTTCCAAATTGGTTTATTTATTGGAGAAATGTTCCACAGTATGGAAATGTCCAAAATTACCCTTATAACTTAGGGTTTTGGCAGCCAACAAAAACACGATTTAATTGTCTTTAATCTTTTTACCGGTTGCCGTTTATTATTGTATAAACAAATTAGGTGCAAAACTTTGATTAATAAATTGACTTTTTTGTGGTAATTTGCCACTCCACATATAGCTCAACGAGATTTTTGCACCTTGGACTCCAACGCGTTCGTGGTGATAATTTACTCAAAAACGATACTCCCATAATGCAATGAAACAGAAATATCTGCGTGGATCTTTGAATCTCCCATTTCGCACTATATATATTTACGCTCGCTTAAAAAATAAATCCGCTAACCGATTGCCTCCGTTACGTAATTAAGTTCTCTTTCTGCATAAACTAGCCACGTATTATTCATTTATTTATAATGACAACTCGTAACAAGGCACCCGCGTAATAAACTCGTCAAAATTGCGGCATAGGTTCTCTGGCAATTCAGTAATTACTTTCAACTTTCGCACTAAATAATAACGTACAATACCGCGGCTAATGGTTCTTTGGTATCCTTCGATGACACGAACGCTTTCCCAGCAAATTTTTTAGTCTATTCGCCGATCTGAAAAACTGAAACGGCCCCCAAGAGAACCCGGCTTCGCGTGCGATTTTGCTACATCTGTAGATATAGAGGAGAGTACCCCTCTCATGCTCCGTTACAACGGTTTTTAAAACCAGCAACACTGTAGCTTACTTTTATCGATGCGTGTTGAAATTTTCTCCAATTGGTAGTTGGTTTTCTCTTTTGGAAGGCAACCACAATTGGAAAATTGGATTGCTGAACGCCGTTGGCTATACGATCAGACCTCTTGTATTCCCATTTGAATTGGTTACTTGAAAATTAATTAGGAAAGGTGGATGACGCAATTTGATTCAGGACCAACCCGTCCTTCAAGCTTACTTTGATAAATGTCAAAAATGTACCCTTGTAACTTAGGGTTTTAACAGCAAACAAAAGCTTGAATTAAGTGTCTTTAACATTTTACCGGTAGTCGTTTTGTTCATAATGTTATGAGTACCTCGTATACACAAATAATACGCACAAATGTGATTAATAAACTGGTTTTCTACACAACTAGCCACTATAAATCTGGCGCAATGAAATGTTTTGCACCTTGCACTCCAACGCTTTCGTGATAACAACAAATTTTGCAGTTTTGGCTAAGGAATCAATACGCGATCGAAAAAAATGTAGTTCTTTCTAGACCGGCAGATTATCACTTATGTACATCGTCGATTGAAAGTTTTGAAGCGGACCCACCGCAAACCCACCATTCTTTATACACAAGTATAAAGGAGATTGCCCCTCTCATGCTCTGTCGCGACGGTTTCTAGGGCCGGCAACACTGTAACGTTTCGACTGTTATCCGCTTGAACACTTGTTTCTTATCTTAAAGCCCTTTATTTCAGACATATTAGTTCTGTTCTCTTTCATTATGAAGCGTTACACGTACTAAGTTTCCTATGTCGGCAAATTTGTAAATTTAACACAAAATCTTTAAGGCATAGGTATGTTCTATTTCACACCTTTTTCCCTTCTTTTTCATCCTTCTCCGCTTCCTTTACATCTTCCTCGAACGATAAAGTACACCTCGGTTTATTTCGGCGAAAAAACATATGCCTATCTCGAAATATAATTAGCTTGCGCAGCGATAACAAACTAGTACTGGCTACAAAAACAACACGAGATTATTTCCAAATCAATAAAACTAATCTTTTAACACGTAGTTTAATTTAAAACTAAAATAAACAAAATACACAAATCGATTATTTAAACAATATCAACATCTAACAATTCTCCTACAAATAAAATTCGATATCAAAGTCGAACACGATCGTAAATGCGTTCATTTGTAACGCCCCGTTGTTTCGTTGAATGTGCGCTTAGTTTGAGTAACTGACTGAATGCGTTTAGTGTGTTAGGAGTGCATTTGGTATAACTGGGAATGGACGGCAGACGATATGAACGTTTTCATAGTCGCTAACATGTCTCCCTCTTTTTCTTTTTGCTTCGCTATTTATGCTACAAAACAGAACCAACGAAACATCCGCGACCGGCGTCCCCTTTCAACCATTAAGAGACCCGTTTTACACTATCTCGGTTCTTGAAAAGGGGACCAGCGAAATCCTCGGTAAACATCTACGTGTTCTAAACGAGCACGTTTAACGCTAATAAACTGATTCGTGCCTACCAATTTTACCCATACATAAAATTGAAAAAATTGAAACTGCAAAGCGGGCTCCCGTTACATTCCCTATCGCGGGGTTTAATTGAAAATTGTGGTAAAGTTTCCCCCTCCACCGAAGAGACTAACGGCGATCCAATGGATTTCGGTTTCCCGAACAAAAGGGAAAATAAACACACTGTGATCTCTTGGACCCACATCTATAGCAAAATTATTGTCGAAGTTCACCTAGGGACAACATCGCCACAAGGTGTACTTCCACTTAACCCAGAACCTAACTTCAAATTTAAATGTTTACAATTTCGATGGGCCGGTGGCCAAGGAAGAACAAAAAAAAAAGAAAAAAAAGACAATACTGCCATGAAAAAGTTAATTAATAAATAAGCAACTTGAGAATGGGACACTTACTCATTCAAAAGTTTGTGACGTACCTACTGCTGATTTAAACCTGGACACAGAATGAACTGTGAGAAGGGATAGTAACGAGGTGGGAGATTTTGGAGTACAACCACCGTATAATAAAAGTTCCAACGTTGCATGTTACTAAAACAAATTATTCTGTTACGCAGTTTACAGTTTATTCCATGCAGTAACGTAAGTGATAAGTACGTTTCAGCAAAAACGTTTAAGGATCAGTCCGTTATTACAAAGGTGACAATGATTAAGACCATCGAGGCGCTTTCCGTTGTATAAAATTTCCAACCAATTATCTCCTACATCCCCTTCGAGCGAAGAATTTGATATAATTATACACTTTAAGTGATTATAGGAGAGTAATTACTTGGAGTTTCAAAGCTCGGTGCACAAATATGCCCTTACCTTAAAGAATTAATCTTCTGGTAGATTCAGAAGCCCATAACATAATTTTAGCACGAGCGTTTAAACGACTCACGTTGTAATTATTTCTTTAAGAAATGCAGTTGAGCAATTAGATTAATTACTTACAAGATGAATGTTTCGTGTAAATTTTAGCGCAGTTAGTAGGCGAGGAGAGCCAAAAATAGCGATCGATAATACAATTTTAAGGAACCTCAAGTATTTAAAACTGATTCAGCGCCTGCTAAATAGTCGTATGGTTCAAAAGTTCCACCCTACACTTAATTAATATTTTAAGCGATCATTTATCTTGAAAATTAATGATACCTAAATTAATATTTAATTACCAAGAAGGCCTCGTTTCCAACTAATTTTAAAATTTGTGGGATTATCAAAGGAAATACAAGATACCATATTCTGTGATGCTTAAACATTTTAATTGCAAATTTGGCATGGAGTATAAACATTTCGCCTAATGCGTTTTTTATGCCCCTTTTTATTTTATTATTTTTACTAATTGTTATTCAATATCCTTTTTACCCCCAAAGTAATTTGCGCTGGCATCCGAAGTCTCGCGTGCCAGAGAGACAAATCTGAACATTTCTACTTATATTTAACACGTGTTATGTATCATTTAAAAATGAGTAAAAAAATTAATCCCACCTGTGCTAAACCCTTGTAACGAGACTAAAAGCAAATCGCTAATAAATAGCAGCTGTAATGAAACATAAAATCCATTAAATAAATCATTTGAAATCCTCTCTACGTAATGAAACATATGCACGTACAATCTCTAACATGTAGGACGAATTAAGGGCGTTTCAATTAATCATTGAGTTAACATATTTTCCTATCCAAATGATTTTTACAAACATTACCATTCGTCTTCCACACAACACACTGGAATTTGATTCGTATAAATAACTCAGGATTACAACGGACGCGTGTTTAAAAGTGATTCGGGAAACATTAGTTCCCACAAAGGGGCATTGTTGAATTACTGTTTTTACGGGCTCGGGTACTAACATTAGTCTAATTTTTGTCACTTCGTGCACCTAAAAATTCCGCCGAAGCTTTTTTGTGGTAGCTGTATGAATAAAGAGACGGCTGTTAATCAATCCTCTGCCATAAACGCCTCTAGATTTTAAATTTAGTAACGCCCTTTCATTAAATTAAGCTGAAAGTCATGCTTCGCATTTTCGCAAATCTTGCCTTTGTAGAATACTAAAGCGTTTCTTACTGTGCCCTTTAATTCTATTTCCTCTACGTACACTACCGCAAATCAAATTGTTCACTATCAATTGACCAAATAGCGTATTACGGACTTTCATAATGAACGGATTAATCTACCTCTTTCATAAAGCTGAAAATTCGGAATAAAATTCGTCGCTAATTAAAAATAAACGATCTAACGCTTAATTTAAACTGCGCTAATCTGAGAAGATTGCTAGCATGATGCTATTTGCGTCAATTAAAAAGCGTTTCCGCTACCAGTGTAAGGACGCTTCTCTAATTGAAAAACTGTGTTCGTGTCAATGCTTAAGCGTGTTTCAATTAGTGATTCCGCTGACGTTAATGAAAAACCCTTAAAAAGGCGCTGCAACGAATATAAGATTATGACCGCATGTGTTGATGTTCAGTTTACTCAAGTACAATTTCAACTACCTACCCATCTCCATGTCAAGTTGAAGTCTTGAACTAATCAAAAGAGGACACTACATGATTGTCGTTTGCCTTTAGTTGGAATTATTAAATGGTTGACTTTTACAGTTCAACATTGAGGTATAGGTATTTCATTCTCATTAAGAAGAAAAATGTGAGGGTGAGAAACATTTTTTTTATCTTTTTATTCGTAAGGCGGTATAGGTAATGTTAACAATGAACTTCGTCAAAGTTAGGCACGAAAATCGTCACAAGCACAAAAGATGACAGATTGGAACGTTTACTAAGCCTATTACTTTTCTGTAGCAAAACTAATACAAAAGTCCAGTCAAAGGTTATCCCAACGCACGGCAATCAAATTGTTTAAATCATTATTAAATTAAGTTTTTGAGATCCACAATCCACAATTTGCATTCTCAAATCAATTTTGTTATATTTAATGCTATATTCTGACTCCAATTCACAAACTAAACAAAAGAAATTAAGGCGAAATTTATGTAGCGAGTATCCCATACATTGGGGCGCCATCAAATCGATAAAAAATTAGTCACCAACGATAAGGGATGAAAGCGGACATTCTTTGCATGAAATATGATATGCCTTCAGAGTCATCGCGAACGTTCCATGATTTTCTAGAAATTTTCCGTTTGGTTTTTCAATCAATACGTGCTTTAAATTGATCAGTTGTTGTCGATAGTGGGTGGTATTAACTGTTTCGCCAGGTTGGGGAAGCTCGTAATACACTACTCCCACCACGCACACGGCATTCCTCCCAAAGCGATCCGGTCTTGCACACGACATTGATGATTCTCCTGCCATTACCCATCATTTTTCGTTTTGGATTCTCAAAATGCACCCATTTTTCATCGCCAGTTCCAACCCAATTAAAAAAACTCTCCCTTTCATGGCATAAATGCAGAATTTCGCACACAGTTCTCGCGTTTCCATCTGTCGTTCGTTCAGTTTGTGTGGAACCCATTTTTCAACCTTTTTAATCTTTCCCAAGCCTCTCAGGCGATAGGAAATGACCTGCCGAGTAACATTCAACTGCGACGCCGTGAATTGTATTTGTGTAGCGTCTTCGTCTAATAATGCTTGTAATTCGTAGTCTGCAAGCTTTTTTGGTCGATTTTAGCGTTCTTTGTCAATAACATTGAAATTGTCACTTTTGAAACCAGCATTCACAAGTCTTGACGGTGGGAGCGCGATGGCCGTAGGTGTCTTCGAGAATTCAGTGACTTTCCGATGCCTTTTCCTATTGATTAAACAGCAAAATCATCAATTGCCGCAAATGCTCTTTATTTGGGGCAAAAGTCTTACCAACAAAATGTCGCTTTAGGTTTAACATATACTTCAATTACAGTGACTGTATAAAGATAGTGTGGCCATAATAAGATCAATACACATTATCGGTCAAGTCACTGTCCGGTCACTGTAGCGTGTATTTCTTTTATGAACGTGTTTTGACCGTAGCCTGACCGATACTATGAGTCGGCCATAAGGAATGCACGCTATAATATTTGACCGCACTGTGATTCGACTGTGACGTGACCGAAAATGTGAATCTGCCTTTATGCTCCATGTCGGCTTTATTGTTTCCAATTTATCATTTAGCTGATTGGTTTCACCGTATGACCAAATTATCTCTATAGGGTCTCTGTAACTTCAATTACAGTGACTGTGGTGATAATGCTTCATGTCGGCCATATTTTTTCCAATGTACCAATAAGCTGATTTGTTTAACCCAACAATACTGCTGCCACAGTAAATTGTTCAAGCATGATCAAGTCATCACCTTGGTGGCCAGGTTAATTTTCACCAACCCGATGTATTTGGCCAAAATATGGCGGATCTCCTAACTACCAATAGAAAATAGGCTGCCTCTATGGAATCACTGTAACTTTAATGCATGGATATATCAATCTTTAATTACAGTGACTTTATAGAGATCTTTAAGGTTGTAAGCGCCATCTCTTGACAAAAAAACGACGTTTGAAACTTGCGCACGTAAGTATATCGTCAATTTTATTTAAACTCATGGAAACAAATCTAAAATAACAAAATTTTGGAATAACCAGCCCTCTAAAGAGACAACCTTGTATACCGCCTAACTCCTATCACTCAAAAAACCCACAACGAAATTTGAATAAAAGTAAACCCCATTAAAAATGGCTCCCGTTACAAGCCTAGTTGTTAAAAAATTATGCTTTTGTTCCGTTCAGTATGTTAAAGAACGTTTTCTTTGCCGTTCTTAGACATTAAAGAAAGAAAGAAATTAACAATTTGATGGACAGAAAAAGCGTGTTTAACAAACATCAATTAATTAAAATAACCAAGAGGCTCTTAGTTAAATCATGACCATTATTACATACAGAGTCCTGTAACAGTGTGTCGATATTTCCTAGCCTCGTAAAATATATTTAAAACACTTTTTGTGCAAATGTCAACTATAGATGGTTGCGCATCTATAGCAATTATTTTTAAATGTACCGGGTGACCCAATAAGACTGTTCCTCGGCGATATCTCAGGAACCGTTCGTCGTATGACTTAGGGGTAAAAAAAATTATTGGGTAAATCGGTTATGAAGAATCGCTGGAAAATATTTTCAAGTTCTAAAAATGACCATCAGAGGGCGTAACTACCATTTTAAATTTTAAAATTGCATTTTCTTTAAATTTCGCATAATAAACTAAACATTCTTTTTTCACATTTTTGAAGAGAACCAGTTTATCTATCATTTTCGTAATAACAAAAACTCAGTTATTTCAAAAACAAAGATGGCGTGGAGCGTTCAATTGTTTTTGTAATAACCTGCTTTAACTTCTTAACCGTTTGGCCGATTGTAACAAATTTGGTATCGCTGAAAAGAGCATTCCTTGGGCAACAATAATCAACCAAAATATAGTTAATTTAGTTGAATCCTTCTCCGCCAGGGGGATAGTTTTGACACAAAATCCTAAAAAATCAATTTGTAAATTATTCTGCTGTGTTTACATGCAGTTTTTTGAATTCGTAATCTTTCCTAAAATGCCGATTTCTAACCAAGAAGCATTTAATATACTGGCGGCGATGGTTCGTGGTCGATTCGGGTAACGCAAATAGAAGATGTGGGCGCAATGGTCGCATTTTGAAAATACTCAAAATATATCGCCAGCATATTAAATATCTACTTCTTGGTTAGAAATCGGAATTTTAGAAAAGATTACAAATTCAAAAAACTGCACTTTCTGAATGTAAACACAGCATAATAATTTACAAATTACGGCTGTTATTTTAAATAGATAGATAGATAGATAGATAGATAGATCTTTATTGCTCTTGAAGTACAAAGTATACTTATAGCAACTGAGTTAAGTTTTTGCTTATTATACCTAACAAAAAAAAACAAAAAATAATTAGCTTCATTATAAATGCCACAAAATAAATGTAACCTAGCAATTAGTTATTAATAATTAATATGATTATACAATTTGAAAAAAGAAAATATCGTGTTTTCTATTAAAGTATACACAAATAATTATGAAATCAATATTTTTGTTTTTAACATAAACAGTTATCCACCAGGGCGACGTATCCAATGTGACGAAGTGTAAACTTTTTTGTAAAAATAACGCGAGGCCACCACTAGCACGCCCCTAGTCGCCTTAGAAATGTAATTTTCACAGAAAAAACTGGGCAGGTCTGCAGGATCATTAGTAAGCCACGTTTCACAGAAGAAAAAAAATATCAGCAGGTATTGTTTGTAAGTCTAGGGAATTTAAATTGTTAAAGCCGGCTACGTTCCAAAAGAAAAGACTGAGTGGTTGCTATGCACTTTCATACACGTTAGATTTCTTTGAGTCGTTTTGTTGAGGTGAAAGCGAAGCTTCAGATGAATTTCTTTTGTTTAAGCCAGAAGGACCAGCTTTGTTGTCTACTACTATTGAGGGAGTATTCTGAATTTTTTATAATGTATCGTGTTGCATTTGTTTAATTTTCCAACGCCTACCTAAAAGTGGAGGATCCTTTTCCAAACAATCTTTCGCGCCATCGACAAATACCGGAAATACGTCAAATAAGATACAATTTAAGCATTTTAATCAATTAATCACTTAATCTCATTTTCCCAATATTTGAGGTTAGGAACGAGATTTTGACAAAGTTTTCACTGGCCTCTTTGGATGATATTTGGCTACTTTTTCATAAAGAAAAAGTCATATTATTCCATTTGATTTTTTTAGGATTTGGGCCATAGTTATCAAAACTAGCCCCCTGGCGGAGAAGGATTCAACTAAATTAACTATATTTTGATTGATTCTCATTGCCCAAGGAATGCTCTTTTCAACCACACCAAATTTGTTAAAATCGGTCCAACGGTTAAGAAGTTAAATCAGGTTATTGCAAAAACAATTGAACGCCCCACACCCTCTTTATTTTTGAAATAACTGAGTTTTTCTTTTTACGAAAATGATAGATAAACTGGTTCTCTTTAAAAATGAGAAAAAGTATTTTTTTGTTTATTATGTGAAATTTAAAGAAAATGCAATTTTAAAAATTAAGATGGCAGTTACGCCCTCTGTTAGTCATTTTTAGAACTTGAAAATATTTTCCAGCGATTCTTCATGACCGATTTACCCAATAATTTTTTTTTACCTCAAAGTCATATGACGAACGGTTCTCGAGATCTGGCCGAGGAAGTGTCTTATTTACGGTGTAAATAAATAACTGATTTTTTTAATCGAACACCATGTATATGTTTCAATTTTCGATGTCTCTACATTGAAACCTATTCACTTTTTGATTTTTTTGATTTTATTGAACAAATTCCGAGAAACAAAAAATGTTTTTTAACTTTCCAAAAGTAAGAAACATAAAGCCGTACAGCAGTTTCTATGGCGTAAGTTATAATTGCACTGCTTTTTCTCAAAACCCGCCCCATAAACAGCCAGCTAGCTCAGGGATGTGAAAGTAAAAAGGCATGAGATACTTTGCAATTAGTACATACAAAATCTTCTTAACTCCCTCGCACGTTACCGTAAGGCTGGGCGCCACCCAGTGTTTTTAAATGATTGATCCTTCCTCTTATGAAACTGGGAACTATTAATGGAAAGCGCTAAAAACAATGATTGCAAATTCCCGCAACAAAATAATCCAATGTTTTATTTACCGTTAATAAAATTCTCAAGAATTCGACAATTATTACCAGAATTACAAAATTAAACTTGACATCCCTATTTATGATCGATTACGTTACATTAATATTTAATAATCATCCCTTAAATGTAAACTGATTACGAACAAAATCGCATCGATAAGGAAAATACAAGAATCCTAATATATAATAATCTTACCTTTAATGATGCAATGTCTGACGTAGGAAAAAGCTCCGTTCCAGCGTGTCCAGCAATTCAGTCTAAAACAAGGAACCCAAGTTAATCCACTCGGTAATTAAAATTACAACTACTTGGGAAGCCAACTAAATATATTGTAACTAGATCCACGATCGAATACTTTTGCAAGGCACCGCTCGTGAGGAGAAGGCGTGCCCAAAATAATGGCACGTTCAAAATCGAATCGATCATGTATCAATAGGTTAAATTTGGTATAATTCCTTGAAGAGCAATTACTACTAATTACTCACGTAATTAATGCAATGAAATAAACGTTACCATGAATGACCTATGGACTCAATTTCGTTATCTTCACTTCCAGCGTGTTGGACACCCCTGCACATATTTCAAATACTTTGTAGTTTATCTAAATATTAAGTTGTATGGTTTACCTACTTAGATTATAAGTAACAAAAGGACCGGTCTAGGGCAGGTAATTAGCCCACAATTAGGTTTAAGGCATTACTGGATCCTGGATGCATTGTGTGTTTGTTAGTCAACGCAAGCACATGAAATGAGAAAATATAGGCGGTTTTCTTTAACCCCAAAAGACAGCGTTTGGTGCAGTTATCACAGATCATATATTGATTTTGTACACACATCAATGATAAAACTTGAACTCTTGTGTAAACGTGGATTTAAATTATAATTTGATAATGAAACTATAACCGAAACTAAAAACCTTGTAAAGAAACGACATATCAAACCCATTCAAAACACAAAATTCAACATACCTCCGAACGAACAAGAGGGTTATTCAAACGACAACAATACGGCAACGGTTGAAAATGAAATCGGTTCAAACTTCCAATAGCGAATTCGTATGCATCTACATTAAATCCAATTTATAGCCTCCAACATGAGAGAAAAATGTATTTCGATCCCAAACGAGTTCGAAATCACATTGGATAATCTGTTAATGGTTAAAGGGCAACAATTAGATTTGATAAAACGCAAAGAACATTAATTACTGAAAGCGAATCCGTTAAACAAAATACAACGTAAACTGTATGACAGTTTAAATCAAACTAGATATTTAGATTTAGAAACTTGAATTTCATGATTTAACGTTGGAATTGAATATTCGAAACTTTACGATATCGGAGCACTTTAGGAGTAATTACCAGAAAAAAAAGAAAGTAGAGCAAAGAAAGTTTGCTGTCGATAAAACTTCGTTAAGTGCGATAGCACAAATTCGTCAAAATTTTGAAATTACAATAAACCGAATTTCAACAAAATAATTAGTGACAAGGTCTGTGAACATGAATATTTATAAAACAATAATCAGGAATGGGTGAAATGCTACAACGCAAAACAGCTAAGAGGGTTTCTAAGCGAATGCCGCTCTTGTTCCATTTTAAATGATTATAACAACAGTTGAGTTGCATTAAGTGCAATATTTCTTTTGCAGTTCCTCCAGAGCAACCGACGATACTGGATAAATGGGGACGACAATTAAACGGTTCGATAGGTCCACACGAAGAAGGCGATGACATAACGCTAACGTGTAGAACAGTCGGCGGTCATCCCGAACCGACAGTGCGTTGGCTCGTAAATGGAATGCTCGTTGACGAGCAGTATGAACACAACGCGGGCGACGTCATTGAAAATCGCTTAGTGTGGGCGGGTATATCAAGAAAAGACCTAGACGCCATATTCACATGTCAAGCTGTAAACACGCTGCTTACCGAACCGAAAGAGGCGATGGTTAATTTGGATTTATACCGTAAGTATACATTTCGATCTAAACATATAGAGAAAGTGAGTGACTTTTTATAAGTAAAGGTATTTGTCTCCTTTCCAGTAAAACCCCTGACAGCGAGGATTTTAAAGACCGTAAGCCCCTTAGTAGCAGATAGACGATACGAAGTGTCCTGCGAATCTGCGGGATCTCGTCCTTCGGCCATCATCACCTGGTATAAAGGCAAACGTCAGCTTCGAAGGACTAAGGTAAGGAAGCTCAACGTCGTATAATAAAAAGAAAAATGCCCTTAAAACTTTAATTTTAATCAACAAAAACTTCGACCGTTTTTAGTAGAGTTTTATGTTAATATTTCTTTTAGCCTTAAACGGCGACGTCTTAATTTTGTTGATTACTCGAGAGAGTGTTAATAAAAAATCTTTAAAATTATCGCCTTTATGCTCGTAGTTATGAATTTTATGAACATAAAATTCCTATTGAAGGTTCATTTACATTTTACTTTCAACAGACATAGCTAACTTACTACTTTTGTAACTTTCTAAAAGACAGAGTGCGACTGCACAGTACAACCCCATTACTAAGTCGTAAATTTGTAATTAGCCTGCTGTAAGTTGTATGATGTTTCATTTACAAGGGCCCTTCGAGTCGTAAGCGCTATTGTTCCATAAACACACGTAGCACCCTGAAAGAGAAACAAACGCCTTAATTTGGATTGGAATTTACTCGCGTTACCTGAAATTTTACCTCAATCAAATTGATTTATCATAACATTATCATAGGGATGTGAAGAGCGGGCGGATAAATTTTATATCATTTGGAAACAAATTCTATAGTTAATTAACTATGCATATACGAAGTTGTTAAGTAAACTTTGGGAAAAGATGTTAAAATGTATCGGAAACTGTTACCTACCTATGTAAATATCGGAGACGATTGCCCGACAAAAATTTTGCAAGATAAGAAGAATATAATGTTTGTTTCGATCCTTTCAAAGACATGGTTTTTCAAAAAGCATCATGAAACCGAAAATAAGCATGGGTTCAGTTACAAATTGCCATTTTACAAATTGTAATTTTCGTTAATAAAATTTGGAATTATATATTTAGGTTTCATTTTAGGTATTTACACATAAGCAATACCCGCGGGTATTGCACAAGTGCCTGAATACTCGAGGATATTTGTTTGTTGCTAGGTGATTTCTGTAATATGCATTAATATGATTGGTTGAAATTTTCTGAGGGCAATAGTCATCCCGTATATCCCTCGTGCACGCCAAATACCAGATCTGAGTAATATTCAGGTATTTGGCGTGCACTTGGGATATAATACTTGAATATTCCATTGGATAAGTTTTTAATCATTTTTAATAAAAAAAAAATCCTTTATTCCAGTTTGTGATGCTATGCGCAATAAACAGACATATTAATGGCGCACAGTGGAAAAAATATTGTAATAACTAAAAGTGCCAGTTTATATCAATAAATAAACAATTGACTGGAATGCATTTACGGCTATCGTAAGAAAAAATAGATCACCTACATATTATGCGAAACGTAACGGAAGATATCTTTCGTTGCGGGTGGCATTTAATAAGTTGATTTTTTACTGAGAATTGGTTCTGTTCAGAAACAGTACCACTAATCGATTTACTTACAATCAAACATAATAGAGGAAAGACATCAAACAGTGCGATGAAAAGTCATATTTATTTTTAATTAGCTATGAACCACAAAAATTAAAAAAGTACTATTTGGACGACACGAGAGCAATGGTAACATCGAAAGGTACGAATGTTGAAAGAATTTATGCTTGGCTCTGATCATAATTAGAGTTCGAGTGAAAAAAATCCCTGTAAACTCGGTATCTATTTGTAAGCAAAATTGAATATTGACGAGGATTTGGCAGACCCTATCTGTATGGACTTTGCAGGACCGTAAACTAGACAAACCGTTCCTGTAGTGCACGGGTACACCTACCTTTACGAATCAGTTTGGTTCGACCTGGTAATTGTTGGCTAAAAAGTACTAAGCACGTCTAGACATTTTATTAGATCTACAGTAATGCTGGGTTTATTTAACGATCAAATTGGCCTTTGGTGACCTTGAAAATGACATGACGCTGACATCAATATTGTCCTTGGATGATCATGTAAGAGAAATTTGCCACCACAAGTAATGTGTCCTTAGCTGACCTTGAAAATGAAATTCGACGCCGGGAAAAAGATGTCATTGACCTTGGAAGAGCTTAGAAGTGACGTTTGGCACCACAAAAATGTAACCTTAGACGATCGTGAACACGAAATTCGATGCCGGAAAAAAGATGTCATTGACATTGGGTGACCTTGAAAATTAAATTTGACGCCGCAACAAATGGCGTTATTGCCTTCTGACCTTGGAGATAGAATGCAACACAGCAAAAAATAGGACCTTTCACCTTCAACATGCCAGGGAAAAATGATATCATTGACCTTGAAAGTAAAGTTTGTCAGCGCAACAAATGGGGTCATTGACCTTTGATTTTAAAAATAAAATAGGTAGGACAACACAAAAAGAAGATATTGACCTCCGATTGCCTTGAAAATTGAAATATGAGCATAATAAATTGTCATTGACTTCTGATGACCTTAATGGGGTCATTGACCTTTGATTTTAAAAATAAAATAGGTAGGACAACACAAAAAGAAGATATTGACCTCCGATTGCCTTGAAAATTGAAATATGAGCATAATAAATTGTCATTGACTTCTGATGACCTTAAAAAGTAGAATATGGCGCCGCAAAGTGGAACGTCCATGAACTTGGAAATGAAAGATGATACCCCTAGAAATTTGTGCATTGAACCTCTCATGACCTTGACAAATAAATAACGTTTTACGACAAAAACAAGGTCTTGAACTTTAAATTACCTTGACATAATTTATTGGTAAGGTGAATACCGGAGTAGTATAGAACAATCTGAAGCACCTTCTGCAGAGGCCACCTCTAAAAAAGCAATTATGCGGGTCACTCTGTAATTGGGCCAAGCCCTGTTGATGGACTAAGAACGAGAGAGAGAGAAGAGAGAGAGAGAGAGAGAGAGAGAGAGAGAGAGAGTAGAGAGAGAGGGAGAGGGAGAGGGAGAGGAGAGAGGAGAGAGGGAGAGGGAGAGGGAGAGGGAGGGGAGAGGGAGAAGGGAGAGGGAAGAGGGGAGAGGGAGAGAGGGAGAGAGAGAGGGAGAGGGAGAGGAAGGGAGAGGGAGGGGAGAGGGGAGAGGGAAGAGGGAGAGGGAGAGGGAGGAGAGGAGAGAGAGAGGAGAGAGAAGAGAGAGATAATAAAAATACATTACATAAAATAATGGGTCAATTGCGTTTCGTGACCTTGGGAGTAAAATGCGGCACCGAAATGTGGGGGTTCTTGACCTTTGGTAACCTTAATAGTGAAATTTGAGACCACTAAAAATGTGCCCTTCACCGACCTTGGAAACGAAATTCGATGCCAGGGGAAAGATATCATTGACGTTTAAAGACCTTGACAATGAAATTCCATGCAAGGGAAACATGAGACCTTAAAAGTAAAATTTTTAATTTGATACCGCAACAAATGGGGTCATTCACCTCTGGATTTGGAAATGAAATAGGAGAACACAAAAATGGAGATCTGATTGCCTTGAAAATAAAATATGACACCACAAAAGTTGCTATAATGCTATTGCCCTCTGATGACCTGGAAAGTAGAATATGACGCCGTAAACGTAGTCCATGAACCTGGAATTGAAATATGATACCGCAAATAAATGGGGACATTGACCTTTGATGACCTTGAAAATAAAATATATTACAAACATTGGCATTAATGACCTTTCATGACCTTGGAAGTAAATTATGGCACGGCAAAAATGGGGTATTTAACATTTGGTAACCTTCACAGTTAACACAAAAATGGAATAATTGACCTCTGATGCCCTTGAAAATGAATGCCCTTTAGTTTCACATTGACCTATTTTCCAAGGATGCAGCCACCTCTCAGGTGACCTTTCAACTTCACCTTGACCTACTTTCCACGGTCTTCACCGGATGGCGAGCGACTTAGAACTGAGCTTGATTCGACCTGATTGTTCTTTTAGAAAGATCAGGGACTTTTGGAAATAACGTCTTTTTAAAGTTATTTAATTTAAATCGGGTCTTCGCGATAAGAAAATTCGTTATCGCTGCGTATGCCAATTCATTTAGAAGATAAGCAGGTTTCATCGATATGAAAATACAACTGTACAGTTTATAGTTCGTTGACGCTTACATTTGATAAGAAGGAGGCTGTTTTTTGAGGTGGACATTGAAACGTAGCTGCTTATTGTTTTGTGTGTGTTTGACAGTTATGGAAGGTTTCTTAAAAATCAGCCTTGTTTAATTGTAAAGTCCTTCGCTATCTTATAATTTCTCTATATTGCGTTTATATGCAAATTCTTAAAAATATTGATAGTTTCTAATGTGTGAGAACTTCACATCTAAATAGATTGATTTTAAATTCATCTAATAGTATATTTAAATAATTTTACCCACACGAAAATGCTCCTTTGCGTAATTTTGCCACATGTAAATACACGGCCTTGCTCCGCATCAGGATGCTTCCTCGTTGCGTAGTTGCATTTCGTATATTGTCCACATGCAATCATTGTAGGTTACTCGCAATTCGCCGCGAGATCACAGCACTTACTACGTTTTTGCGCGATCGATCATTTCTGACTATTTACCATGTGTGTTTCCATGACAGTAAGTGGAATTTACCAGTTGCTATGATTACGACGACGCCAAAATTACTTACCGATCTAAAAACAGAACAGCAAAAATACTTACCGACGCCTTTTTAAAAACAATCAGTTCAAAATCAACAGTCTAACATTTAATCTTTAATTATTGTTAGGTACATTAAACGTACAATTTGTGCTGTTGTTTCCTATAGCAAGACGCTCATAAAGTCATAAAGGAAGTGCAAAGCAAGTAAACTACATCAGACACATGCACATTTTTATGAAATTATTAATTTCAATTTTGACATTTAAACTGGTTGCCTAGTGATGTACACCATACCACTTCGAACATTTCGATTTATTCTGCTGGTTAATTTCTTAGTGCATAGTTATATTGGTTGGATAATGTTAATTTCGATCGCGCAAAAATGTTATAAGCACGTCGAACGTTAAGGGTTACCGTTCTCAGACAATAATTGGAGTCGTCGCTTCGCTCCTCCTCCAAACAATTGTCTTCGAACGGTAA